GCACGTACGAGCAATCGAATACTTTACAAGCACTCGCTTCCATATAACCATTATTTATTATCTATTATTTATTTAAGACCTCGTATATTGCAAGGAATTGCCGTATGCATGGAATTTTATATCGATAAAGCGCCAATAAATACATATAAGGCATCTGTACTTTGTTCGCTCGATTTTTCGCGTCTCCTGCAAATTTGCGCTAAAGGAATCATTATTTTCGATATTTCATCGTCGCCGGCATTGAGAATTATAAGTATCGTAACAGTATCTTTCGACTAATAGTAACGGCACTCTCAACCCACAATGGATTATCGAAATAAGCGAACGTCGGCTAAGATTAGTCTTACGCGCGATGAGATAACGGATCGGATTAACCACCTCTGGAATAAAATGTGGCGGGCCAACAATCGCTCCGACGATAAATAAATTTAAGGCCCCGAGGTCAAGGAAAGAATCCCGTGGCAAGTTTGGGGGTCGCAAGGTCGGGGTCGTAGGATCAGGCGGCGGGTGACTTGATGGTCCGTGTCATTACGAGGACAGCGGCGAGCGCCTCCTCGGCCGTGGGCTTGATGTACTTGGCCGGCAAGACGAAGCCACTCTGGCCCTTATCGCGCAGTTCCACCGTGTAAGTGTACTTAATCTTGAGGTGAGCCTTGGCCCAGTCGTCGGCACCACCCGAGGCCGCGTACAAGGTCGTCGCACTGTTTCCCACGATGTAGTGGCTGTTGGCCCCGCCGGCGACGCGCATCGCCTCGGCCATTCTCTTGCCCACGAGGTCCAGGTCCATGTAGTCGGGAGGCACACGCCGGTCGTAGCCCCATGGGTAGAGAATGTATTGGCCGTAGCTGTGGAATGTGAGATAAGCCTGTGGGGAAGAGTAAGCCAGTTGATTCGTTACGTACATTCTCTTTGCAGTCTGCCTCGCTCGACGTTCAGCTGCGTCGTCGACGATGCTGTTATTGTTATGGCTCGTCGTCCATTGCGTTTATTGACGTTTTATTGCGCGCGATGTGTATTTGAAAATTGAACGGTATATCGGAGGAGTGCCGTAAATGTGAAATGGATAAATCTTACGTTTATTATGGGGTCGCTGCAAGTTTTTGCACTTTAAAAGTGCATTCGCGTCACTTGTGAATGAAGAAATTTTCGCGTTAACGAAGCGTGAATTTAAGATTTAGAAGGTGATCTAGTTATAATTATGGAAAATATGATTACGGGGATAAATTAATAAGAAAGCAGACACATAACGGATTCGATAAGTGATTTCTAAAAGTAAGAGCTATCTCATTATGTATGTGCACCTGTGCGTGTTTTTTCTCACGATATCAGGCTAACGATGTTCAATCGCAAGACATGTAATTCGAATGCAATTGGCTGTAATTTATGAAACTCAATACTCACTAATGAGCCATCGAGTATGGCAATATTTAGGCCACTTTGACCATAAGATCATTTACATAAGAAATTTTTTTTGCGATACTGTTACCAAAAATACTTTCACGACATAAAGGAGCAAAATTTTTACACTAAAATGCTTATTACACAAATATATTATACTAATATTATGACATCATCATAATTATTATTATTACTATAATAATAATAATTATTGATATTATTATTTTTGTTGTTGTTGTTGTTGTTGTTGTTGTTGTTGTTGTTGTTGTTGTTGCTGTTATTGCTGTTATTCTTGTTATTTATCAACGACAGTAACAACCACGATGCTACTACCACCGGTACTACTACTACTACTACTGCTACTACATCTGCTACTACTAGTACCGTTAGCATTATTTGTCCTTATTATTATTTAATTCACGCAGAAATTTGACAACAGTCCATTTTTATAGTAATTAAAACATTTAATATAATACCACTAAAGTAATTAGTTTATAAAAAACAATATCGCGAATTGTATTTGATAATGTGCAATTTAGTATACCCTGCTTTAAATAAACTTATTTCTCCTTAATCAGTTTTTATAAAAAAATTTGTTTTCACATTGTCATTTACATGCTTCACTCGTACTAATTTCTGTGATTTAATTACTCAACTTTAAATTCATTGAAGTACAGAGTTCCTATATCTTACTATTAGATAATTTCCTTTATGTGTGCCGTATTATCAGTTTTATTTTATCCCTACAATACGCTATAATGTCACTGTTTGTGTTTTATTGCATTAACTTCAACTACATCTACAAGGATTGTGAAATATAAATAAAAGTAAGGAGAATTTCGTTGCAAAATACGTGTCACTGAACCTTAAAATTAGCGGCGCTCGTCTCGAAGAAGTTCTTAATGGCACGGGTCTCGGGCTCGGAGAAAGGTCCGGTCCCGGCGTATATTTCCCTGCATGGCTGCTTACTTGTTCCCAGGCCACCCCAACGATAGCCAAAATTACGGTTCAGGTCGATGCCAATGCAGGAGCCACCTTTTTCCAGATTACCACGATTCTTGCGCCAGAGTCGGTCGCCGCGAAACGTGTATTCGTATCTGCCAACATATAAGCACGTCGCCGCAGTGAGATAATGGCATTTGTCGATAAGCCCTCGCTCAACGATAGCTGAATTTTACGAAAATAGGCGCCCCTTGAAACTACAACGCGAGCAATATCTGCGTAATCATCGCGTAATTTAAAATATTAAAAAGCTTTGTGGATGGCAAAATTATCGGCGAACGCGTGTGTTTGAAACATACGGATTTAAGCCAAATGCGCCAACAATCGCGATAAAACCACAAGGAAATGGAACGTGAGCGATCATGAGATGCAATCATTGCTACGTAATCAAGCGAGCATTGAATAATAATCATTAATCATAGAAATGAAAACAAATTACCCATCGGGATTAACAACGGGTAGAATGTAATAGTCGGCCTCGAGCTGCTCGCTGTGCTCAACGAGATAATCGATAAGGTAAGTGACGACAGCCGGTGAAATCCACTCTCGGGCATGAATGCCCCCGTCGATCCAAAGTGCCGGAGCGTTATCCACTCCTTTGCTTATTCGAAGCACCTGCGCATTCCAGTTACAGTATATTACAATTATTACGTATGGGGCTAGAAGATGGGCTCTGTGGCTTTTAAGCTTGATTCGGTGCTTTAGCTCAACCTTGAATTTCACGCGACGTTCATGTCTGTGTATTTAGCACCTTGTTTACGCGTTTTAATCATTTTTTTTTCCAATCAACTTTACAGTTTAATGTTATTATCTCTCTCTCTCTCTCTCTCTCTCTCTCTCTCTCTCTCTCTCTCATTGATCTCAATTTTGTTAGTGAGCCATTTTCTATTATTTTTTTTTATTCTTATTTACATTTTGGAGAGATTTAAGCTTTGCCAAGATTTCGTATGTTAATATATATCGAGAAATATTATTATAAGCCCAAGGCTCGACTATTCTCGCTGTATTTTCTTATAATAGATAATTAAAACGTACTTTAAGAGGACGGCCCTCGACGGATTTACCGATAGTCATGACCGAACAAATGTCGGAATATGTATTGGCCAAGTAATCCAGATAGCCATGAATGTCGTCAAGTCGATGGTAACTCGTCCAATCCATTCGATGTCCTAAAAATCAGTTCTTTCGGCTTAACGGAGGAACCACCATTATTCCGATTAATATTTATTATCTAATTTACGCTTCGCATATTCAGCTGGTAATAATGAGTGAGTGATATTGAATCTTTGTCATTCTATACTCACATCCTTATAATAATTAATTATAAGAGATTTATATATATATATATATAAGATATGGATTTATGCATGGATCGTCAAGGTAGAAAAGAGTTACGAATATTATTGCCAAAAATTCTACTGTCAAACACTAGGAAATGTTGAAAATTCGAGGGATATTTATGCTCCTTCGTCTATATGCGTATATACGTATTGTCTAAGCCTCGCTATTCTTTGTATTTTCTACCTTGTAATCACCTTTCCATTCGATAATAACAATCGGCATTTCCATAGAAGAAAACAAAAAGTAATATATATACAAAATCCTAGACTCTCAAAGCAAGTAACTAACTACACGTACACCAATGACGTTTCTACAAAATTTAAATATAAGCCAGTAAAACACTATGAGTTTCATAAAATAAATCGACGACGTGTAAATACTTAACTGAATGTGCGAAGCGAAAAGTACCGAATTAGCAGCTCACCCTTTAATCGGTAGCCACGAACACCTTCACCCGCTAATGAATTAAATACGGAGAAACGAAGAGGATGAGGATAATAACGTAGAGGATTTTTTTTTTGAACACCATTCACAGTCTTTTTCCACCAAGCGTAGCGAGCTAAAACACCACTTTAGCTATCAATGCATTATTCATTAAGTTTCGCATAACTCTGATTATAATATAGAAAATATTATAATACAATTTTATTACCTTAATGTAGAAAATGGAAAATTATTGGGGGAGCAAAGATAAGTTATAATTCAGAGTTTACCTATGAAATTTTATTCTCAACTTTTACGTAACTTACACTTTGTTAGTTCTTTATTATTTAAAATAACGTCACATAGCCAAATAATTATTATCTAGTTGGCGAAACAATAAGCAAAAATTAAAATTATATATATATATATCATTTCACCGTTCCCTACATTTACATAATATTTTATCTATATTAATGCTTTATGCTAGTTGCAATCTATTTACTCTCATACTACTTTTCATTGATTAAATTTCATTACAAACGAATGATTGTCCGTGATCTTCCGTTTGGAAAGAAACTTGATTTCTTCATACAACATTATCCGTATGTTGTTAAGTATTTGTAAAAAAAAAAAAAAAAAAAAAAAAAAAAAAAAAAAAGAAAGAAAAAAAAACCTAATTTACTTTGCGCTGAAATTGATTTCCTCGGCTGGTCTTAGATGAAATATAGAGATGGTGTGAAACAATTCCATTTGATTTTGTAAAATCTGAGGGGTTACAGATAGGAGGCCTATGACTATTCATTCGTATTGGTGCTATTTGTAATAAATGATTAGATACTCGGACGATGAATTTGATTATTCCTTTCAAGGATCATTAAATTATCCATAAAATAGTAATGTAAATAATAATGTCATTCCATTTTAATAATTTCATAATATATAACTAGCTTATCTCTGTGCGCGCGCGCGTGTGTGCGTGTGTGTACGCGCGCATGTGTGCATGGGTAAAAATATTAAAATAAAAAATATATACATTGCATCAATTGCTTGTATCTAAGAATAAGAAATTTTAATAATGACAATATGTACACAGAATCTATGAGCAAACAAATAAAATTTGATTTAAACGACAATGAAAATTCAAATTATTATTCAATTAAGATAACGATTAAAATAATAGGTCAAGTTTATTAACATATTGCTTGAATTGCATTACAATAATTTTATAAATCATAATAATGATTTTTTAATTCATATATAACTACAATCCATTATGCTATTTCATGTTAATATTTACTTCAATTTCGTTTGAATAATAATTATAACAGTACGGTAAATCGTGAAATTCATGAAAACTCGATACACAATTAATGTACACGTCCTCTAATATTCTTTACTGATTAATCTGATATTTTCAAAAATTAATCATACGAATTAAGAAAGTGTTCGATAATGTTCCATTCAAAAGACACGTGACACTAAACAATCTATAATTATACGATATTTTTATTTTAAAAGCAACAGCGTAAACATTTATTTAGACATAAATTTTCTTCTCATTCACTCGATAAAATGCTAGCCTATATTAATTTAATCAACTGATAAAGTGGTAAGTGGGCTATTGGACTACATTCGAAGTTCAGCGACCATGAGCATATATCAAGCATATCAAGTAACTTTTCTCAGCATTAACTTGTATGTGAGTTAATTTCGTATTGTTTTTACATTCATTATTGTATAAACTTTCACCGAACACTTTGGCACAGCGTTTTATGTTAGTGAAATTTTTTTGCAGCAAGAGATAAAATTCAACTCTATAAAAATGAAATTATAAATTGCGTTTTTGAGGATTGTAATATATAATAATTGTTTGTTGAATAATGATAATTCTGACAATTATAGTTGAGCTTTGAACATATATATATATATATATATATATATATTATTCTACCATCACTTAATTGTTTCATTAATTGATTGAGTTCAAGTTGAATGATCCGAGATCGCTAAACTTTCAATAACTTATTTCTTAATTCTACCAATTAGAATAATTTGAAAAAAAAAATTTTTCTATCCAAATGACTTAGCATTTTACCAACATACTGTTTAATGAATATTCGTAATGGTTCGTAATGGTCGTAAATTAAATTAATTACAAAATTTTTCTAAATTTTGAAATTAGAATAGATGTTAGTGAAATAATAGTAATAATACGAAAAGTCAAATATAATACAGGAAAATTTACTTTAAATATAATGCGAATAAAATTGCAATAAACTTTCAAAGACGAATATCTTACCATTTCTGCCCTCGAGATCTTCAATTTCTTGTTGACTTTTTATCGGATTTTCAGAATTAATAGCCTGTTGGAGATCGGGAATTATGACATCATACTTAACATGTCTCTGACGCAGGAAACGGGAAACTCGTGGAATAACATCAGGAAGCACTAAAACGTCTATCGCAGTATCATTCCCCGTCCATAGTGATAAATCTGTAATCAAGGAGAAAAATATTATGAAAAATAAAAACTATGTCAGAAGTTACTTCCAAACGTATGCATTTAACAATTATAGGAATTTATCTAATTTATACATAATTCATGATTTTAGACTACTCAATAATAAGTAATAAATAATTCTCTAAATAAAATTTGTATTTCCAAAAATTGTGTGATTTAGAAACAATATTAAATGAAATTATAAATAAGATAATCCTTCGTAAATCGTTATAATAACGATTATGTAAATATGCTCAAAGAATCTTATTATAAAAGTATAAATTTTGACTATCCAACAGTTGGTGCAAAGAATGTCGAATTTTTTTCTCAGAAATTTTATGATTTGGTAAACCCGACAAGCTAACAATGCTTAATGTCAAAAAAAAAAAAAAAAAAAAAAAAAAAAAAAAAAAAATAAATAAAAATAAATAAAAATAAATAAATAAATAAAATTTTAAAAAGTCAAATAAGTTAAATGCATATAATCAATATATTTTTAATGTAAGGAAATAAATAGTAATATTTTAACTAAACGTATAAAAGAGCTTTTGCATACAAAATAAATGAGTTTGCAGCATTGATATGCGAGCTCCCACGCAAATCTAATCAAGCATATGGAAAAATGATTGATAATTATCTGTGAACGTTGTGAAGTAATTCGCACAGATAATATTAATTTGTAAAATTTTATAAATTATATACAGACGTTTTTTCTTCTTCTTCTTCTATTTTCGTGGTGTTTGTAATGCAAACGTATAGTTAATTATTAATGCAGTAAAATTTATTTGAGGACAATATAAGTAGGATACAATGATTGTATAATTAGTTTTATTGATGAAAACGAAGATTTAAAATACCAGAAATATCATTTTTAAAATAATAATTTCTTTAACTTAAAACGTATATGAATGTAATCGTCTTTATTGGAAGGAAATCCTTACAAAACAAAATTTTAAATATTTTTATAAATTAAATACCTCGTGAGTATTCAGACGAGAACTATTGTTTGTATCTTTAAGACTATTAGTGAATGAAATGAGATTTTTTCTTTTTTTTAATGGAATTAAAAACTTTGTAACTTTTTTAATATAGTTTTTTTTTTTTTTTTTTTTTTTTTTTTTTTTTTTTTTTTTTTTAAATATATACTCGGCTAGCTTCCATTAACTTATCAAATTATATTAAATAAATGCAATAAAATAGAATTATACAAATTCGTTTTTACATGAAATTCTTATAATAATTTCGAACGTTAAATTATTGTTAAATTGACTTATGAGCTCATCGAAATTTCTATTAAACGTATTAGCCATCTCTTAATAATCATTAAAATCCCATTAATATTTATCGAATATTATCATAAAAATACGTTAATATAATGTTTTGTTTTAACAGCTGAATATAAAGTAAAAGCATAAAGAATACGATTTGGACTACGAATTCTTTCAAATTGTAATTACTAATGTATATAATACACATATATAATATCCAAGTTTCATACTTACAAAAATTTATTCATTTATTATAATGAGCTCACAATTATCGATGATAATCATTTCATAAATAACATTGTGTAAAAATTATTTAGTAAGTGTATTATTAAGAGTGAGTTTGTAGGTTGTGAACTACAGATTAAACGTTTTTTGTATACCACGATTTTGTTTCATTACTTGCCGCAATATTTACAATTGTGCGCATTAAGTGGCTCATCCATGTCTGTTTAAGGCAATAATAAGATAGACTAGAAATATCGAGCACTCATTATTTGATAAACTCTATAGTTAATATTACACTTAATATTATTGTTAAGTTAATGGGAGTGGAGTTGGTAGTAGTTGCGAACGATCGAATGATCCTTTCCCTTAGCATTGTTCAGTGAAATGAGTTAACCATGTTCGCAAAGCTTATAGAGGCAGATGCCCAACGATAGATACGAACCTCCTCTTTCCTGCAAATAGCTCAGATAATCAGCCTTTTCATCAGCCTCGAGGACCCTCCAGAGCTGCGCGCCTTCGTACGTGACCGTCTCTTCGGGGATGTCCAGGGCTTTCGGGAGCGCATCCCCGGCGTCCCAGTCGACTTTGTGCCTTTCCAGGACGGAGCCGTGGGCAAAGTTCGTTATCATGAGGAGGAAGAATAATCCAGAGAAATCCATGCTTGCGTAGGGACGACTGACCTCGCGTTCGGACTCTCGCTCACCTTTTATAATATCCAAGCGAGCGCGAGACTAACGGGACCATCGCTTTCGGCCGCTTTAGTATTATGTGTACATAAACGCGCGCGCTTGTGTGCGTGTGTTTGTGTATGAGTACTTACGGATTCACGAAAGCGCGTGAGAGAAAATCAAGTTGGAGAGATGTCCGCGCTTGTTCTTATCCATTGCCATTTGGATGCGTAGATTTTAGCGCGGCGACTACTTGCGGTGTCTCTACTTTTTATCTTGGCAGCAATGGGCGTTCGAATTGATGAATCGGCGACAATCTGCTTTAGTTGTAAAAGACCGGATGATCGATAGAGAAGAAGATGTTGTCACACGAGCGTGAGATTCGGGATTCGCTTTGTCATGATAGCTGTTTATTTAAAGAAAAAAACAAAAATAAAAAAAAATAACAAAGAAAAATGGGGCCGATATCGATGTCAACGTATATATTAAGTTTCATTTTAACGTCTTTTCACCCATTGCGGCAAATCGATTGTCTTCACATATAGATTATCAACAAATTCATTTAGAAGGTTACGCAACCATTACAGGTGAAGCTTTTAGTTAATTATTCATACATATCATTCTGCGCCTGTGCATTTCAATTACTTATGATCATTAACTCACCAATAATAATAATAATAATAATAATAATAATAATGATAATAATAATGATAACTATTATTATATAATATAATGTTGTGTAATAGGGTAAAATTGGGTAGAGTAGTATAGTATAGAATGTATTGTTTAGAGTTTAATATAGTCTATTATTATATAATATAATGTTGTGTAATAGGGTAAAATTGGGTAGAGTAGTATAGTATAGAATGTATTGTTTAGAGTTTAATATAGTAGATGTATGTAGATTCTGCGTACAATTAAAATAATTAAAAAATACTACGGCTTGTAATGAGCTCCAACGTAATTAAAAGTTCTTTAAACTTCTTTAAATGTTGTCTATTATGTCGCTCGATACCGTTGACATTAATAAGATGACTGATACACATGTTCCCATAGGCGTGTAACTCGCGTGATCCATCAATGGTCATTAATTGCGCCAATGGTCGATGCTAGTCAGTCAGAGCCTCGCCGCTAACAACATTCATTGTCACGAGGAGAGCATTCGCAGTCCTTCTGAAAGCATAAATTATGAGTCGACGGCTGGTCTCCAGTCCGTTAACAATGCAATGCATTTACTAGCCCTTAGGAATCGGGGAACGAGAGCGCGGACTAACGAGCTGCAATCAGCATATTGGTGGAATTCGTCGCTTCGACGCTCCGACACAATTGGCGGCTCTCGGGAAGATCAGCATCCGTAATGGATGTGGATCCCGGAGCTTTGCGAAGACTAGACTAGATGAATCCGTGGCAACGCGCGACGATTGCGGCGGTGGTAGCGGCGGCGGTGGCAGCGGCGGCGTCGGCGGCGGCGGCGACGGCGGTGACGTCGAGAAAAAACGCGGACCCCGCCCTCGACGTTCGCAAGCCTCTGCGTCGTATTTTTGGTGTCGCTTTGACGACACGTGACCGCCTATTCGTCGTCCTCTTAGTCGTCGAGCGCCCGAGAGAGAGAGAGAGAGAGAGAGAGAGAGTAATTTGCCCCGGCGCGCACGGAGTTTACCTTACCAGCGGATATTTTCACAGGTGTACAGCGGTCGTGCGTTCATCATGAGGTGTCTCCTACTGACTGCACTCCTAATTGCCGCAGCCGATCGCGCTCAGGTAGGAAGAAATTTCGATCTCGTTGCGCTTGATGCTTTCCGTGAAAGTGGAATGATGGCGATGTACCGAAATGCCGCTCTGCCTATTTCATGCGACGTTACACCGAAAGCCTCGGCAAACCTCGTCGGGCAATAGAATCGCCGACGCATTAGCTTTAAATAAATAAAACTGAATATTATATTGGCGGTTGGGGGGGGGGTTTAAAGAGAGCGGACTGAGCCGTTTACATTGTAGTGATTGTGGTTATTGGTGAAGATGCTTAGAAAGTGTAATGAGGTTGAGCGGATATTTTGTCGATTGTCGAGGTATCGTGTGCGGTGATGATTTCTCAAGCGCTTAAAGTCTCGGTAAGAAATTAGAATAAAAAGGAGAGTCGTTGAAAGTAGAGTGATAATTGCGGTGGAAAATTGGCATGATAGCGCGGAATTGTCCAGCTATGTTCTTATGCGCACAAGGCTTTTAAGGCTTCGCCAGCGGATTTGCGAGAGTGTGTCGTCATGCCTTCTTACATTACAAGCACGAGAATAAATTTTGAAAGAAAGAGAATAATAATGGCAGCTGCTGCCGTTTCAAAGCGCTAATTTAAAAATGATCCGCTTTATATGATTACGCTGAGAATGTATTTTTATATAGTCAATCTGAATTATCGCATTGTGTTTAATGTATCGATGAAATTGAATGGTCATAATTTTGTATGGCGTATGTATTTAATTTTTATATAAGAAATAACTAAATTTAGTTCCAAAGTAAGGATGACGAAGTAATTTATCATGCATTCGATAATACCGATTTTTCAATAAATATTCAGTCATGTATGCCCTAATGCATTTAACAATTTATTAATTTCATCAACTAAAATAAAATATGGCCATCCGTCATTATTGTGTAATATTTGAAGTAGAAACTTGTACACTTTGAAAAATCAGTAGATTGATCGTTACTTTTTATATGTTAGGGCAATAGTTTTACGATAACTGATCAAGTGTACTTCGACATCATGATCGGCGACAATCCAGCTGGTCGAATAGTCATTGGATTATTCGGTGAAGATGCTCCAAAGACTGTTAAAAATTTTGTGACATTGGCCACCGAAGGTATCAAAGGCAGAACATACGCTGGATCGAATTTTCATAGAGTCATCAAAAAGTTCATGATTCAAGGTTTTTAACAATGTCTTTGCTATTTCACACTTTATTTAAACACGCTATCAAATATATATATATATATATATATATATATATATGTATCATTTAATATTTTTTATAATATAAAAAAAAAATATATATATATATATTAAATATATTTATATAATTAAACGAAAGAACATTCAAAAATGTTAACGAGTGATAACTGTCGTTTTAATTAAATTTTACTAATTAAAAAGAAAAAAGAAAAGATAAATGAAAATTTGTGGCTTTAGCAGGGAGAGGGAAGCCTTTCGATAATTTATGCAAATAAAAATCTTATAAGTATACGTCTGCATAGAAATGATTAAATTACTTTCCATATATGTAGAAGTATTTGTGTAGTTTGATAGAAGTCGATAAAATTCGATGCCGACGATATTTATGCAACAATTGCGATTATTTCAGGAGGTGACATTGAAAAAGGGGACGGTACTGGATCCATTAGTATCTACGGGAAATATTTCGACGATGAAAACTTTGAAATTAATCACACGGGTCCTGGGTTCATTAGCATGGCGAATGCTGGTAAAAATACGAATGGCTGTCAGTTTTTCATAACAACAATTGCAACCCCATGGCTGGACGGTCAGCACACAGTTTTCGGAAAGGTATTTTTAGAAATATATTTCCTGACGCGTTAAAGCAGCGAGCTTTGAAAGTCTTATATTTATACATTTAATATTGACTTTTATAAGCACAAGCCTATCGCTGCCGAGCAAATTCATTTACTAAATAATTTCAACTTAATCTATAGCAAATATTATTAATGGATAAATTATATTAGAATGTCATTCGCTACGAGATAAATTTTCTTGAAATTTTGGTTGTATGTATCACATTAATAATATAATTGCCAATGGCATTCTTTTGCTTATTACATTTATAAAACTTGCTTCATAAGCTAAATAATAAAAATTGCATGAAATATTATTAAATGTATTTTTCGATTAATTTATACGATACATCGCTTCCGTATAATCAAATATTTGGAGATTTTGCTCGTAAAGTATGGAGATTCAAAAAAAACCCTTTAAATTGAAATTTCCATAGACATTTTAATGTGAGCTTAAAATTTCATATTAGCTGCACTTATTAAAAAAAAAAAAATAAAATAATTTCTTCAAAGCAATCACTCAGTGCAATTATAGGCAAAATTTTTAATAAGATATTTGACATTTCACAAATACTTAGATACTTTATTTATTAGGAAATATTAAAGTTTCGTTTGACGAAATAATTTGCCCATTTCCTTTCAGTTTTGACATTTGTAGATCAGCAACAGTAAAGATATTTTCATTTGGATAATAAAAAATAAAATTACACTTAAAGTGCGCGCAAAGTATAAAATTGCTATTTTAGATTTACCGATGTTTAATCGCGAGAATATTTTAAAGTTAAATTTTTATGTAAAAAGTAGATGGGATCATTATGGATTCATAATTAAATCTGAATTCAGATATTTTCGAATTAGTTTTCGAATCAATATTTCGAATGGCCGATGTAATACAGCGGTTTTACGCTAAATTGCTTAATACTCTGTGACATCAATGTTTCAATTTATCTATTTGACCTATATCTATTGTTTTATATAATGGATAATAGGCATAGAGAGTGAAAAATATTATATTTAATATTTAAATTTCCTTTGTCGAACAATTGAAGTTATTGTACGCAAGCTTTTTATGTACAATTGATTAAACGAAACGGCTCCGTTACATCTATTTTACAAAGTTGAAATATTGGAATTATAACGTGCAATTCTACCGTATAAAAAATAGTACATGTCATTACGAGTATTTTCAGTCTTATTACATTTTTAGTATTTAGTCTCTTACATTCAAATATATACTCTTCTTATAAGTATATAAATAATAAAAGATTACAATATTTTTTGGCTAGTTTGAGTAAAAGAGACGGCATGCGATTGCCTCAACTCGACTTAAATTCAAAATCAAGCAACATAAAAGTTATTTTATAGAAACTTTATTTGTATTAGTATTGTCACAAAATCATACATATGTACTCAATATATTATAGTTTAACTCATCTTATTATAAAACATTATAAAAATAATATTAATCGACTTTACCAAAGCTCATAAATATGAAAAAAAATTGAGTAGAAATAATCAAATGTATATATTAATTAAAGAAATGAAAAAATCTGTAATAGCAAAGCGAGATGTAACGTAATTATTAACTTTATACAGAATTTTATATCATATGTACTGCAAAAGAACATTACATTTTTAGGAAGTGCATTTTAAATTTAATTTTTAAATTATTTACTAGATTCATGGAAAGTTTGCTTTAATATTTCAGGTTGTAGAGGGGCTAGATGTAATTTTCAAGATTGAGCAAACCAAAACGGATGTACATGATAAGCCTATTACACCAGTTTATATACTTGAGAGCGGAACAATTTCGACACCCTCGACATTTGTCGTTTCCGACGATCCTTATGAGTAAATTCTTTTTTACGCACCAAAAATCTTTTCTTTATGCTAAAGCTACTCGTGTGCATATATATATATATATAAATTGTGTGTGTGTGTGTGTGTGTGATTGTGCGTATGTGTGCGCGCGCGCGCGCGCGTGTGTGTATGATATGAAAACTATTTTGTAAAACGCATTATATTTATTGAAAGTATTAGCAGGGTTATTATCAGAACAAATCGAAATTATATACAAGTATAAAAAAATACGACGAATTGCACATATAATTATATACATTGTTATCCGAAATGAAATAATTTTTAAATTTTCACATTGAGCATTGGGAGTTTTCATTTATTATATATAGAAATATGATAATGCAATCATCTTATCCAATATGATTCATTTCATTTAGATAAATGATTTTTTAATAATATGTTAATTTAAAAGTATTTCTTAATAAGAGAAAGTACATAAATTATTAAACTTTCTTATTACTAGTAAAGAAAAAAAAATATAAGAGAAAAAAAACGTTAATTATATCAACACTTTTTACATGACATACTGAAATATCAGCATATCAGGTGGATATATAAACAATCGTTATTAATGCCATGTTAATGCCAAGTTAACGTAATTATAAATATAAATATATATTTTCTATTTCTACCTGACAATAACCTATATACAATCTTATAGATGTATTTGAGAATAAAAAAATAGGAAAAGACATAGAAGTTAATGGTTAATGAGTTACTGCATTACTGCATCAGTAGAGTGAATGTCAAGGACACAAAAGATACGCAAATTGCATTTAATGATTCACGAACGCTTAAATTTACTAGATTGTTATTTGACCTACATAGCATACCTATGTTAAACCTTCCCTCTTCAACGACAGCTTAATTTTGCGTAGAGTCGTATGTACTAGATGGAGATATGTTGATATGTTACGAGTTACCAACCGCAACAATTGTTTAGCTTATTTTGCCATTATTACTATTCTTAATAGGAATTCATAGTGCAGAATAATTCGAATCGCACAATATTAGGTTATGTTTTTCTCTCTTTAATCTGCTTGATAACACATTATTGAGTTTAAGAATTGTACGGTTTAAAAAAAAAAAAAAAAAAAAAAAAAAAAAAAAACTGGAGGATGTAAATGTAACATAAAAGTGATGGTTCGTTCTTCAAATTTTTGGTGATTACCAAACTATAATTCTTCTTGTAATGAAAATGATAATTAATGATAAAACATTTTTTTTTTATACATAAATTCTTTTTAACTTTCGTACTAATATAAATCTCCATACATACCGATATATATATATATATATATATATATATATATATATGTATATATATCGTTTGATTAGCATTAATAAAAATTTCGAAACATATTTACAGTCATTTTCAAATCTTATATAATTTATACGGTATTATCGTGTTACTGAATTTCATTAAAATTATTCTTTAATTGAAAAAATATTTTACTAATGTGCCAAAATCTTAAAATATACACTTTTATTTCGTTTATACAATCGAATTGAAATATTTTTAATAAATTTAAAATTATAAAAAAAATTACAGTTAATGTAACATTAATTCGAAATTAGGATAAATATATAGCTAGTTAATGCATACTTGAACGTATGAAAAAAGACTGATAAAATGTTTATTTTCGCCATTAACTGTACAAAGAATTATATAAAGTATTATTATATAGAGAATGTTATGTAAATATTGTAGAAGCTATTAATTTTGTTAGTTACAAATTCCAAATATAAATGTGTATTAATGGCTTAATAATTGTATTTTTTATCATTTGCATTGTAAACATTACGAAAGTTTTCTAATAAATATATCGCTTTCGTTCTTGTAAATTCAAATTACGTCTTCTATATTCACAGTTTATGGGCATGGCTGAAAGCAACTGCAATACCTTTAAGTTTTAGCTTCTCAGTTCTTGGTTTTTTCCATTGGATGCTGAAGCAATTGGATGTTTGAATGACAATATGATTTATTATTAATTAAAACCGTAAGTATATGTTTAAGCTTAATTGTGAATTAAAAATATGCACACCCATTGTATACAAAATATATCAAAATGTTAATAAAAAATTTCATATCAAATATTAATAGACATTTATTTGAATTTATGCTTATTTTATATAGAAATTCCTAGATGTCAAATATGAAAGATCTCCTCCTACATGCATGCCAATTTAGCTACAATATTTATTATTCGCATCAGTATCTCATATATTAAATATTGGGAGCATTTTTATTTTCCTAAGTTTATCATGTAATATAATTGAATTTTGCAGCAAGTACGTTTTATAAATTCATTAAATATTATTTTACGGATTATAAAATATTATAAATTCAGGAATATTTTCCGATAATAATGTTTTTCATCTTTGTTTATTTGTTTGTTTTTTTTATTTTTTTTTATTTTTTATATTTGTTGTTTAATTTGCCTATAAAATTAAATAACTTATTAAATTAGAAAATGATTGACGATAATATGAATTTAGTGCTTAAATTATTAATAATAATGATCGACATCATTAAATATCTATATAATAAAATTTTTTATAATAATCCATCTCACCTCTTAATATAGATTTTGTCGAAATTGCGTGAACATTAGATTCGCCCATCATATTTTCAAAATATTTACTAATTTATCAATATGAAGGTTAATATAGAAATTTACTTTATCCTCAAAAGATTACCTCGCTTGCATAGCCTTAGTCGGTACAATCAATATCTTATCACAATTATGAAATAGGAAATATTTATATATATCGAATGTAATATTCAAGGTATTTATTCTTAATAAATAATTTTATGATAACGAGGTTTAGTTTAACGGTGAAATATGCTTAAATGTTTCTTGATGTTTATGCGTGTACATTGCCTCATGCTAATAATCCTTTAATTTGTTCGCGTTTCTATTCATTACCATTTATTTTTACACTTTTTCTATATTCATGTTTCAGCATTCGCGATAGGCATTCTCTTTCTAAATATAATTTAGAAAGAGCCTAAGCAGCTACACTTCCATAATGGCTGACGACAACGAAAACTGAGAGGAATCTATTTACGTACAATTTATTGAAATTGAATTTTCAAACGTTTCTTCTTCCAATATTTGTTATATCATTGTAATGTTTAACGAAATAGTTATACGCTTATTGTTTTCTTGTTTATAGCTTCTATTTTTAACGAGACACAATTTTGTAAAAAATATTTAATCTCTTAGAAAACAACAAACATGTAGCTGTAGTATACCCGTAGAGCAATATTTGCGTTTAAGCGCGCTGGACATTTTTACATTTTCTCTGTTCAGTCAAAATTCTGCACTTTTTCAATATTTTCATCTAAAATGTAGCGATGAATGTTAATGGCAATAAGATGCCGTCATGAGAAATCTCTTTCATAACTGCCTAAGTGCGTAGATCAAATTGTTCATAAAACATTCGCTTTGTTCGTCAACTTGTTCTACACCAGTGATCATCTTATACGTGTAAGAAAATATCCATATACATATACATATACATATGTGGGAGTTGTATTCGTGTTAGGTGGGATAATGATAACGTCGATGAAAAAGTCCATCCACGGGCACTTGCTACACGAGCGACGGCAATTGCATATAGGTAAAGAGTAATCATCTTCCGTGGTATTGATACTGCAATGAAATGAAAAACAATTAGATGAGAACGGGAAATGCGATATCCCGAAGCGAGGAAACTCGGGCGCACTCGCATTGCAATTTACAAACGGATATAGAAAGCCTTGGCTACGCAATCACGAAGCGCGTTCGTCAGCTACGCTGTCACGAGCGAATCTCGCGGCGTTCGAGTTCGAATCGCCGGTTGTCGACTAGACTGCCGCGCGCACGCACACGCACGCGCACCGGGAGATCGAGAAACCATGGCCACCCACGTAAGCCGACGCATACGCGCGAACGAAGCGTAAGAAGCGTAAAGCAAGCGCGACTTCACGGAGGATCGAACTCGAACGGAGCCGGCGGCCAAACGCTAAGCGCCTCGAGCCTTCAGTCGCACCTCGCATTCCGTATTCGGTGGACGCTTCCGCGGTCGGACCAACTGCGCACCATCGACGTCCCTAGTCCTCCGGTGCGAGGACGGCGTCGAGCAGCGGCAGTTTCGAGCGCGCCAGTCGTACGAGATAAGGGGACCTACTCGCCGGGGAGAGCGAGGTTATGTTGGCGACTCGTTGTTTCCATTTTACTACAGTCGCGTGTGATAGTCTACGCGATTGGCGAACGTATGTTTCAGCGACCCGGCAGTGCCGCAGTGCCGTCCGTCAGCGACTTTGTCGTCAGAGCCCCGAGATGCAGTGAGTCCGGTCGCCGAGGTCCAGCGACGATCCAGGTGACGAGCTTGTCTACCCGCCTCGCCCCGCTCGCGTCACTACCACTCATTCTAAGCTCTTAATTCATAATGGCTCTGTCGCAATCAGCTGATTAAACTGGAGCGAGGCTTGTTTTGCTATTGTGTGTGAGCGCGCGCAATCGAAACGTAAACATCATGGGCCCGACGTTATCTGTGCCATGCTTGAGTCGGGCTTGTTGAGCCGCGCTTGAGCCGAGACGTGAGAGAGAGAGAAAGTGAGCTTACGCACTCTCTTAATCTTACACTCTCGCGGCTTGACCCTTCCATCAACCCATACAATTGCATAGTGTAATTATGAGCGATGGTCGATTTTTTAATTTGTCTGTTAGATGCGGTCTCTAACTGGCATTTCGCAGTTGCTGGTAGGTTAGACGGTTACGGGGTTGGCGGAGAGGGCGGGGGCGGGGGGGATATCGAAGTCTTATGAATTTGTTGACGTTCGTTGTGTGATTGAAAGATTTCGCGCGTAATGTTACGTAATGGATGTATTATGAAATTTTAGTCATATTTTAATTAACTCACACCGCACGACGTTCATTGCCATTATTATTGTTTCGAATGGATTTCACTCCTTAAGACGATGAATTAATTATCCAAAGGTATTTATGTGCGATCGATAATTTTGCCTCGTTTAGGAATTTTTCCATAATCTATAATCCTCTTGATTTTGATGTATTCAATCATTTTTATGTTGCTTATTTAATTAATTCATTCAAGCCAATTTGATAACTCGTTAATGTCTCGCTGCATTGAATATATTGTGAATTTAATTCAAAGACTTTAACAATATGATATGTAGAGTGAATGAACCGCTTTAAGAATTTTGAATCCGTCTAATTGAATCTAATTAAATCGTTTAATTGAATTAAAATACAAATTTTGTAGTGATTTGGGTATAATCGTACATTTATCTAATTCCTTAAATGTACGTATTGTCAATATTTGCAGTGAATGATTTCGAATGAACCCATTACTTACAAATATTTCTATCTAGAATTTCCATGTTATCTATGAAATTATTTCTCTCTCTCTCTCTCTCTCTCTCTGTCTCTCTCTATCTATATATCTATCTATTTATTAAAATATAATCAAAATCAAACTTCAACTTTAACTGGTGCAAATAAATGAATTTGGCATTAACAGTATTAATTGAATTGGATGTTAGTTAATTAAAAATATGTATAAATTATACATAAACTATTTAAATTAACGTTCTCCTATTAACGACATTTAAAAGACTCATATTTCTATGTTTATTATTACAAGCAAGCAACTACATAATAAATGCATTCTTTTACATTATTTAATAATAGCATTATTATTATTGATTTATGGTCTGAAATTTTATACATTTTTGACTTTATTGATCATAATTTCGCTATAGTCGCAATAAGCACGCAAAATTACTAATACAAATATTGCTGGAATTACACTTCTATTTTAAAAATTTTATCGCATGATAAAGAACAATTCGTCCATATAAACGTATTTAAATTGCTTTGCAGATTTATTTATACATATATATATATATATATATATATATATATATATATTAAGTAGTAATAAGAATATTTAAATGAATACATATTTTTGTTTTATTTTGAATTATGTGTGATTATTAAAACTAGTACAAACGACAATTTATATAATACTTGTTTAACGTTTCTTCAAAAGTAATAAACTCGTTGAAATAAATTCTATTTCCTACTATTTGTTATTCTATTTCTTATAAAGCGTTCAGCTCAAACAATCAATTCAAATATTTATGATATTATTGCTATCAACAATTTCATTTTTTTTATTGTTATTATTATAACATTACTTATAATATTGTTAATTGAATATTCAGTGCTTATCTTGTTAAAAACGAAAAAAAAAATGGTTTGTAAGATGTCTTTATGTATGACTTTTAATAATTTCCATTATGCCTTTTACTTATAAATTATCATTAGAAAGTTTTTATTAAATCGCACAATGACCAATACATTCCGGTATCTTTTACAAATTTTTTCCTTTTTAACTTTACTCGAAATAAATAATTTTATACATAACCGATAAAATTTACATGCAATCTCATTCTTCATGCATATTTCCACGCAATCGCTGCAAATGCATATTCACATCGTAATTACGTCAATATATGCGTAATATTTTCTTTTCACGCTTAAAAATTAAAATGAAGTATGCGTATGCTGTGACGTACATGGATTATGAGGTAATAAATCATACTCTATGGTACTGAATGTGCAAAAAAATTTGCGTACAGAGATTTCATGGTTGTACTTTTTTTAAATGTTCGGATTCATAGAAAATGAATCCAAAAAAAATTCTTATCGGTCTAAGATATATTCGTTGCGATGTTTCTTTTTTTTAGAGTTTGCAAATATCATAAATAATAAAAGAACAATAGTTTAGAAAGTACCTTAATTAAATTGAAATTTTATATTCATCGTGTTATTGTTTATACAACACTGGACAAAACAATAAAGTATTAAATTCATTTTGTAAATTTGTACAAATTAATATGCCAGTTTTCTTTATTAGTAAAGATAATTTAAAAAAGGTGAACTTGATTTTCTAATCTCGCATGATATTCCTCTATTCACATGATTAGTACATATTTTAATATAAGGCTTATTGAAGTATTAAATGTGTGTATATGATAATTTAAAATGAAACTATATGTCTTTCTATTATTTCTTAATTAAAAAATAATTGTAGAATTAGCAGACAAGCAACCAAGTTTCTGTTATAATAATTGAGTCCGAAGAGATTGCCAGCAAAAAGAACATTAATAACAAATATATACTCTACATTTTAGCTTATTAATTAAAATCAATTTGTATTTCTAATAATACACGCTAGAAAGTATATAAATTTTCTAAAAAGAATGTTTCAAGCACATTTTGCTAAATTAATAAATTGTACCACAAAGCAAATGTAAATATGTATGAAAACAATGAGCCAGACAATGAGACAAGTAATAATGATCCGCTAATCATGTTCGGGATATGCTTTTACTCATTGTAGTTTCGTTTAATTAGCCCTTTCATTTTTTTTTCTTTTGCGTGTACGACAGAATGCACGCGTGTGCGCATGCGGATGAATACACAAAACATAGGCAGCCGCACATCCTCCATATCTATCCTGTGTATTTACGATAATGAATTTCTTGGTCAGAGGGTGTGACACTATAAACCTGCGTTCATACAGTACCTGCGTATATAGTTATACATACATACACACATATATATATATATAAATATATATATATATATATATA